CTCTTTTACAGGTTGGTCTTAACTTCAAACAATCCTTAAGCAACCGGTCATAAACCAGAGAGTTACCTGTGCTGTTGTACGACACATAAATTCTATTAACGGACTAAAGAGAGCCAGTTTGGTCTGGTGGTTAAGTCACTAGGCTAGAAAATGGGAGTCGGTGAGTTCCAATCCTGCCTTAGGCATGAAAGTAGACTGGATAACTTTGAGCCGATCATCGGGAGGTGGTGACTTCTAATCCCGCCTTAGGCATGAGAGTTGACTGGGTGATTTTGAGCCAATCACTAGGAGACGGTGAGTTTTAGTCCCGCCTTAGCCGTGAAAGCTACCTGGGTGACTTTGGGTCAACCAACTGGAGACAAGGAGTTCTAGTCCCACCATAGGCGTGAAAGCCAGCTGGGGGACTTTGGCCCAGTCATTCTCTTTCAGTCCAGCTCACCTCGCAGGGTTGTTGTTGTGGGGAAAATAGGCGGAAGAAAATGTTCTGGATGTGTTCACTACCTCAAGTTATTTGTAAAAATAACAAAGGCAGGATACGAACCATTAAGTAAATAAAGGAATATAAAACTTCCACCTCAAATGTAAGCATTGGAACCCAGTTCTCTGCCCCAAAGCCAAAATAAAGAGGCTCAGAGAGGAACTGTTGGGATAAAACCTGTCTGGAGTCCTACAGGCAGGTAGTCCTCAACTTACGACCAAATTGAACTTTGCCCCATTTTATGACCTTTCTTGTCACCGTTGTTAAGTGAATCACTGAAGTTGATAAGTTCGTAACCTGGTTATTAAGTAAATCTGGTTTCCCAGTGGACTTATGAATCAGTGGCTGAGCCTCTGAATTTTGATCATGGGACCATGCGGATGCTGCAGCGGTTATAAGTGTGAAAAACGGTCGTAAGTCACTTTTTTCAGTGCCGTTGTAACTTGGAACGGTCCCTAAACGAATGGTTGTAAGTCGTCCTAAATCAAAGACTACGTATAGTCTCTTTTTTTTAAGAAAAGCCCACTTTTATTTCAAATCGCAGCATTACAAATCTAATAACAGAACGCGTAAACACTATTAAAAGTCCATTTGTAAAAATAAATAAATAAATATATAAAGGCAGAGCTCCAATAAATACACAAATAAAATAAATAGATTAAAATAAATAGATCTACATTCTCTCGGTCAGCCAGTCTATATACGTGAAATCTGCTTGGATTTCATGTCTTATGAACTCCTGCGTGCAGCTGTCCAGTCCTTTTTCTTTGAGGAAATTCTCGATGCTGCGGAAATACTTCTTCAGTTCCAGTTTGTGCATCCATTCCTTTTTACTTTTTCCCAGACTCAGTTTTTCTCCTTCGAGGCACCTCTGGAGTCTCTGAGTTTGTTCGTGCAGCTTGTTGAGAAACCTAGAAAGGCAAAACAGTAGGAGAACGTTGGTAGAGATTCTCAGTCATCCAGGTCAGGGTTTGTTCTGACCAAGGCTTCCTGAGACAGTAACAATCACACGCTGTTCCCTGAAACCTTTCGTTTTTATCTGCAACGGCTGTGAATTATAGGCATTCCCAGCCCGTAATGAGTCCCAAAGAGTTTGTGAATAGTCCAACAGAAGTTCTGCCACAATCCTTCGGGATAAGGCTGATAAGCACCCACCTTTATCTCCCTTGAAATGCTGCCAACAACTAAATTGCCCATTAGCTGTACAAAGCCAAACGGAGCACAATGTCCAGAGTTTAAACCAACCAGAACGAACAAAGTTGCTTCCTGCAAAGGCTCCTGTCCCTTTGCTCCTCCTTTATGTCTTATGGGAGGGGCCAATCACCTCCAAGCCTTACTCCCGAGTGGCCCCTTTTGTCTTAACCGTTCTTGCCTTCTGGCAGCTCTGTGCAAGCGCAAACTGGGAACAGGCTCCTGCTGCTCCTCTGCCTCGCTGATGTCAGATTCTGGAGGCTCCGGAGTCGGCACAAAACTCCCAGATGGCCCTGGCCCCATCTCTGTGTCGGACGGAGATCCCTCGTCTGAGTCCTCCCCAGACTGGTCCCTGTTCCACCCCACTGTCCAACTCTGCTGCCAGCTCCACAGGCCGCTGGCAGATGACAACAGGGTTGTCCCAAAAGTGCTTTTGCAAAAAGCCACTGGACTTTGTTTTTCATCGAAGACGTTTTGCTTCTTATCCGAGGAGCTTCTTCAGTTCTACCTCAGCTGGAAGAAGCGCCAGTACTGAAGAAGCTTCTCGGACAAGAAGCAAAACCTCTTCGAGGCAAAACGAAGTCCTTTTTTTTTGAAAAAAAGCACAGTTGGGATTTATTTGAAAACATTTCGCTTCTTGTCCAAGAAACTTCCTCGGTTCTCAAGTACTGAAGAAGCTTTTCAGATGAGAAGCTGAAAAACGTTTTCAAAGAAAAATAAAGCAAAGAAAGTCCAGTTGACTTTTGAAAAACCACCTTTAGGAGCTACCTCACAGGGATGTTGTTGGGAGAAGAATGGGAAAACTTAAGTCTTCTGCCTACTGCTTTGAGCTCCTGGAGGAGTAAAGCAAGGTGGAGTTTTAAAATGAATTAAATCAGAATCCTTTGACCCCAGGGACTCTGTCACCGTCCTAAAGACGAGCATCCAAATTTTGATCACCTGACCATAGGGATGCTCCCAACGGCCGTGTGAAAAACGGTCCTAAGCCCCTTTTTTTCCCAGTGCCGTTGCAACTTCGAACGGTCACTTAAGTTGAACCGTTGTAAGTCGAGGACTACCTCTATAGAGATACACACACGCGCGCAGAAGGAAGGAAGAAAAGAAAATCCCAGACTGACCTTTTTCGCAAAGTGGCATCCCAGGCGACCCACAGATGTTCCTCCTTGAAGAGATGCAGGAATCCACGCAGCATCTCCAGGATGGCTTTGGTGGCAGCCCGTGGTTGTCGTATCCCGAGGATTTTTATGGGGAAACTGACCTCCGGCATCTTCTGCCAACACTCCGGGGGGATCTTCGCCTTCATGCCTTTCAACAGCTCCATGCTTTGCTGGTTCCATCTCTGCTGTTGCCTTTTCAGAAGGTTGCAGTGAAGTCCCGAGGCTGGGACGGCCAGCAGGAACACCAAGCAGAGCAGCCCCATGGGCACCGGAGTCGATGTGGCCGCCATGGAAGGACCTGGGTTCTGCGATGGGTCCCCTTCTGTGGCTCAGCGGCATTGAAGTGAAGGGCTCTCTGGCATCCTCTTTTATGCCCTCGGTAGCCCATGGTCTCTTTCATCATTTTCTCTCCCAAATTCCCCAGTTTCATTTTCAGTTTTCAATTTCATCTTCCATGGAGGTTTTTCCCCCCCTTTTGGTGGGGCTGGTGAGTCTTAGGTGCTGGTGGCTGAGATGGGACCTCTTCCAGCTCCCCCCCCACTCCAAAAAAATATTTCCTACCTCCTCCTCCTACCCCAAAAGACCCCCAGTGGCCAGCACTGCTAGGATAATATGCTTGAGGTTTCATTGCCTGCAAGTCAACCCTTGAGCCTTGCAGTATATATGTAGACTTTGACTTAACAACAGTTCACTTAATGGCTGTTCGAAGTGAAAAAAAGTGACTTAGTGACCATTTTTCACACTTAACAACCGTTCCAGTGTCCCCGTGGTCAGATCCTTTTTTTTTTGTAATCAAGTTTTTTTTAATTTCAATCTACAAGTACACAACAATACATAAACAGTGGCGGCATCCTACATATCCTACATTTTAGTCTAAGCAGAATTAATAATACCAATCCTCTCTCTTTAATACCCATGTTCGCATTTAATCATAATCCTTCATTGCTTATTTTCAACATTTCAGTACGCTCTCCTGGGGCCAACCACCATATCATTTAAATAAACATGCCTCGTGATTTCATTATTCCGTTTCCTCTCCTATTTTTTGTTTTTTTTGTTTGTTTTTAAATCAAAAATTCTCATTTGGCAAGCAGTGCGGTTCCAGGTTTTCACATCTCAATACAAACATGACCATAGTTGCCTAATCATTTTACTTATTCCGTTTCATATCACATTATTCCCATGGTCACATCTTTTGGATGCTTGACAACCGATTCGCATTTATGACGGTTGCTGTCATCATCATCTTTCGCGGTTGAACGCCGTCGGTAATGCTCTCGAAGTGAGAGAACATCACTTCTGCATTAGTCCTCTCCCAGCTGGGTTACTGCAATGCGCTCTCTGAGGGGCTTCCCTTGAAGAGTATTCGGAAGCGACAACTGGTACAAGGACGCGGCAACAGAGACAGTGATGGGCTGGCCCTGTTTTTTGCTGTTTTAACCACTTGCCAGCTCTTGTTATCCACTTGCCCTCATTTTATTGTCATCATTTTATTTTGTCTTTTCAAATTGTAAAGGAAAATAAAAACACCGGGAAATCAGAGGGAGGAAAAAGGGAATGTGTAAAAAAGTTAAAAGAAAAAGTGGAGGCTGTAAGTGTGTTACTTTCCACTGTTCTAAAACGAGCCGGAAGCCAGCCAGCCAGCC